TATTTTCACACAGACACACATATATATATATATATATATATATACACACACACATACACACACACAAGTATATATATATATATATATATTCAACATTCCATTCAAGAACTTTGAAGAGGTAACTATGAAGAGATCAGAGCATCATTCTAGCTGCCATTCAAGAATAATGCACCATCAAGAATTAAGCATCAGTCAACTGCGTGAAACATGAAAGCAAAATAAGGCATCTGACAGTGTTCCTGCTTCACTTGGATACAATACAGTCTCCTGTACTGTTTGTGGTCTTTTGGGCAATTCTCAAGCCAGCCTCAAAAGTCATCCTCGTCATAGACATGTAGATAAGTAGTTTGTGGTTGTCAGAACCTTATACGTGAAACTCAATTGTAGTGTATATCATATATATATATATATATATATATATATATATATATATACATATATATTTATTTTTTTTTATGTATATGCATATACTCTATTTAATATGCAGAAAAATTAACATTTTTTTTATTATTTACCTGTTAACACTTCTTTCACACAGTGCGATTTTCAAAATGCATATTTGTTTATTTTGGACACTCTGGAATTAGCATGTGGACAGTTCAGAATAAATTAATTCATTTTGCTTATTAATCCAATTGTACAATTTTCTGGTTCTTCTCTATACATAGATTGCAATTTCAGCCGTTATCTATTTTATACCATGCTACTATTGGTGAAAATTGTGTGTGTAATAGTCAGGTCACTCAGTAACATGTTGCTGGTACCACATAAACCATTACTAGTTGTCACATATTCAAGTGGTTAGCAATTAAACCCCCCCCCCCCAGCAGGAGGATGGTTTAAATATCCAGCAGGGTTAAAAATATTACTTATAAAAAAAGAAATTTGATATGTTGCTAGGAGAAGGTTACCTTAGTGAAATCATGTCAAAGTGGCAATTTGAAATACTCTAAGCAGGCAGTGTATATTGCCAAATATATTTCAAAATAATTAAATGTATACCAAAATACTTTAACACAATTTATGTTAGGTCACTATTTGAGTGTTACTGACAATGTGTAACACAGTACTACCTTCTGCTTGCTTGCATTAGCAGTGACTAAACCAATTCTCACTCCAGGCTTTTATGTTGTGGAGCAAGATTAAGAAGATGATCCTTCAAAGGGTGGATAAACCTTCTGATAAGGTCAATGAACATCAATTGTGTAGACAGGGTGCCAAAGCCATTGTGGTGATGAACCTACAGAATTGGGATGAATGCTTCCTAGACTAAAGTCAACAGGTCAAAGTTGAGAGTTCCTTTAAAGGAAACAATGGTCAGGTTTCCATGATGAAGACAGAACTGCAGCTTGGAGGTCATCATCTGTGGTTTGACCTGGAGTGGATATGGGCCTACTTGTAGGAATGAATACCTCTCTGGCTTTCAACCCAGATAGGTTGATGGAACTGGTCAGATGTTCAGCTGTATAGCAACCCTATGAATACACCCAGTCATGTGACTGATGATGATAATGATGAAGCAGGCAGATTCTCCCCAAGCAAAAGATTGGCACACAATGTGATCTTCTGACTTCCAATTCTACCTTTTGTATTGTATTAACTCAAGTTTAGTATACATCAATATTTTATGGGCATCAGATACTCTTTTGCACCTGAATATGATTATTTTTTGCCTTTAACACATTAGTATCATGGGATGTTGACACAGCATTAGTATTATGAGATATTGTCACAGCGTTAGTATTATGGGATATTGCCACAGGATTAGCATTAAGGGATATTGTCACAGCATTAGCATTATGGGATATTGCCACAGCATTAGAATTATGGTATATTGCCAAAGAATTAGTATTATGGAATATTTCCACAGCATTAGCATTATGGGATATTGCCACAACATTAGTATTATGAGGTATTGTCACAGCATTAGCATTATGGTATATTGCCACAGCATTAGTATTATGGGATATTGCCACAGCATTAGTATTATGGGATATTGCCACAGCATTAGTATTATGGGATATAGCCACAGGATTAGCATTAAGGGATATTGTCACAGCATTAGCATTATGGGATATTGCCACAGCATTAGAATTATGGTATAATAAAGAATTAGTATTATGGAATATTTCCACAGCATTAGCATTATGGGATATTGCCACAACATTAGTATTATGAGGTATTGTCACAGCATTAGCATTATGGTATATTGCCACAGCATTAGTATTATGGGATATTGCCACAGGATTAGCATTAAGGGATATAGCCACAGCATTAGCATTATGGGATATTGCCACAGCATTAGAATTATGGTATATTGCCAAAGAATTAGTATTATGGAATATTTCCACAGCATTAGCATTATGGGATATTGCCACAACATTAGTATTATGAGGTATTGTCACAGCATTAGCATTATGGTATATTGCCACAGCATTAGTATTATGGGATATTGCCACAGCATTAGTATTATGGGATATTGCCACAGCATTAGTATTATGGGATATAGCCACAGGATTAGCATTAAGGGATATAGCCACAGCATTAGCATTATGGTATATTGCCACAGCATTAGTATTATGGTATATTGCCACAGCATTAGTATTATGGGATATTGCCACAGCATTAGTATTATGGGATATAGCCACAGCATTAATGCATTGAATTTTTCAAACACCTCATTTAAAATATTATAGATATATCATTTGAAGCAGTGTCTGTTTTTTTTTTACTATCCCCCTCCCCTGAATTCCAACTCCCTTTTTGTAAAAATATTTTAAAATGTTTTTGATTTTGAAAAATCAAATTGTTAATACTAAAAAAGTGAATTGCTTTGAAAGTTCAAATATGTAAAAATAAGATTTAATTTTATTTTCAGTAAACAAATAAAACTGCTTTTAATTCAACCATATAGAAACCAGAAATTCATTGTAGTTATTTAATATGGGTACTAAGAAAGCTACTTGACTAATGATGAAAATTTGACTTGCCCCTAAGGAAAAAATATTTGGCAAGTTCTTATCACAATGTAATAATGAAGAGTTAATAATATTTGAGTCTCTTTACCCTACAAATCAGCTTAAATGGGCAATATTTGGGCCTAAAGGTGACATAGAACTGTGAAAGATACGAAGAATTTTATTCTTCATGTTGTTTTATCTTCACTTTTACTTCATAACTGTTTACTGAACATGATTTTGAAGAAATACATCTCCACGGGTGTCAATGACTGAATATGGAGCAAGATCTCTAATCTTTTATCTGAATGAGGTTAGAATATGTCATCCAGAAAATACTGAATATGTCATGAACAAGACTGTTCTTATTATGGCTTTAAATATAAATTAAGTGCTGTGTTAATGTGGTTTTTAATCAACTAATGAACATTTGACTGTTGATTGTTTCTTTTAGTGCAAAAAGATGTCTCAGTGCACAACTCCCACCCCCGGTACAGATGCACTTATTGGTCATGTTATATAAATATTTTATAGGACTGCAATGACCTTTCACCTTTAGTTACCAATTTCTCCTCTACCTCCGCCACCCAAAGATAACCATACTATTGTTTCGCTATCCATGAACTTTGATACTAGTAATTAGATATGTTTGTACTGGGGTCAATTTTGCATGTATACCTTTTGTTGTTTTTATTACATAAAATGAAGGAAGACAACCAGTTCAGGATTTAGATTTAGTCAAGGCTTCTGCTACTATATATATATATATATATTTACAAAACATCATACTCCTTGCTGGCCTTTGAACAGGAGTAAAGGTTTATCCTTTCTTCCTTATTTAGGATTGAGTTTCCAGTTCCTTCTAAAGTCTTTTCATTCGCTTTCAATTCCAGTCGCCCTTGCATCATCAAGGCATTATCGCCTTGCATGGAGTGAATTGATTAAAAAAAAACATCTACCTTAAACTTACATTGCCTGCTCTTGATGTATATATATACATTTCCAAGACACTATGAAATGTCAGTGTCTAATGTTTACGTTATAAATGAACTAACAATTAATGCTGTGTCCAAACCAATGGGCTTTTTTTGTGATCTGTTTTTCTGGCATGTTTGGAGGAGGGGGAATATCATAAGGTTTAGTCTATACTCTAGAGTACCTGTACAAAGCAAAATGGTAGTGACTATGAAAAATTGCAATGATATATTTGTATATCAGAAGTAGATAATAAAAAAGATCAACAGAAAAGTTGCAGGGGCCAATAGTAGTGAATGAACTAATCAACTTCTAAGTATCTGTCTATATTTCTGAGATGAGGTATGATGTACATTATTTACATTATTTGGACTTGTCCTCATCTTTGTTGCCATATATATTACAAGGTTTCGGCCCTTCAGTTCTATCTATATTTCTGAGATGAGATATTATGTACACTATTTACATTATTCGGACTATTGTTCTCATCTTTGTTGCCATATTTATTACATTTCGGCCCTTCAGTATCTGTCTATATTTCTGAGATGAGGTATTATGTACACTATTTACATTATTCGGACTATTGTTCTCATCTTTGTCGCCATATTTATTATAACGTTTCGACCCTTCTGTATCTGTCTATATTTCTGAGATGAGGTATTATGTACACTATTTACATTATTCGGACTATTGTTCTCATCTTTGTTGCCATATTTATTATGTTTCGGCCCTTCAGTATCTGTCTATATTTCTGAGATGAGGTATTATATTTTCTATTTACATTATTTTGACTATTGTTCTCATCTTTATCGCCATATACAAAAAACATTTCGGCTGTTGTTGGGAACCTTCTTCAGGTGGTTGGAATGTTGAACTGAACCCTTTATTTCACTCACTAAGGGTTCAGTTTACCCCCACCAACCACCTGAAGAAGTCATTTTGGAGGTACAACAGAATAAACCTTATATAATAAAATGTAGTGACAAAGATGAGGACAATAGTCTGAATAATGTAAATAGTTTTCAACTTCTAAGTGTACTAACATTTCTCAACAAGCTTCCCTATCATGCTGAAACATCAGTTCTCATACAATCCCCAAAGTAAAGCAACATCAAGCTTGGTCAGTACCTAGATGGGTGACTACTTGGGAATACTAGGTGCTGTAAGCTTGGATACGCAGGTGGCATAAGGTAGGAACTGAAAAAGTCATTCTTAGACAATGTCTGCTCACCATCAGCAGTACACTTCACACAGGCACATGAAGCACTAAGTTTGGACCATTGTTAGATGATGATCTGTCAAAAATGTCATGGCATATATTTAGTTTTAAGACATTTTTATGTTTATACATTCTTTTTATAGATACAAATATCTAAGTAAATGCTCACTTTATAATAAACAGTATTAAACAACATTTACCAGCCTGAATGTCCGAAAAATTTTCATAGAAAATATTCATCCTCCGACAGGAATCGAACCTGTATCCTATACGGAACCGTCATATTGCCTGACATTCCTTAACCGTTTGGGCCACAGAGAAGCGTTTGGTTAGCAAGGTCGAATTTACTGCCTTTAAACAGCAATCTTCCATGAATCTCTCACGTACATTCATATCTGCTCAAAGCGTATCCAAATGTCAACAAATAACATCACCCATTATGAAATGGACAAAGTCTGACAATTATTTTAAGACATTTTTATAATTATACATTCTTTTTATAGATGCAAATATTTAAGTAAATGCTCTGTTTTATAATAAACAGTATTATTAACATTTACTGGCCTGAATGTCCAAGAAATTTGTATCTATAAAATGAATGTATAAACATAAAAATGTCTTAAAATAATTGCCGGACTTTGTCCATTTCATAATATTTAGTTTTGTCAACATTTTGAGTTTTGCGAAAGTAGTGTTTAATTCATCACATCTGTTGTCATTAAATTCTAGTGAGAGCTTGATGGATTATTTTTCCCAAATTTCAATCAGATAAGCCTCAGATATTTATCTTCCCTTAATTCCTATTGTACCCCATGTAGGTGAAATGAGACATGGGTGTGTGCATCTTTGAAAGCTATTAAATTAGAGGGCCAAATCAGCAGAAAAGGTGATGACATTGAAGTTTGCATAGCTATAAGCCTATAGGGAATGAGGTTCCTGAAGGCCATGGTCAAGAGGAGACATTCTTCTTTTTCTATATACTATGTCACTTCAGGATGTTGGCAATCATTGCTCTCCACAATTTCCTTTCTGTTGTAGCTTTTAGTAAATTTTGTCTTTTCGTTATCTCTCCTAAACCCTGTCCTGTAATACAAGCTCATTAGGTAGGCTATGCACTGTTTTCTTCTTGACTTCAATATGTCCTGTGGATGTTAAATTTTCTAAGCCTTCTTTCTTTATTACATGCCCAAGGAATTTTAATTCTCTCTTTTTGATGTGAAATATAAGTGTTCTTTATGTTTCCATTTTCTCTAAAACTTTGTCATTGCTCACATGTCTGGTTCATGGTATTCTCAGCATCCTTCTGTAGAGCTACATTTTTGTTGCCTCAAGTCTTTTTTTCATCTGTGAGGAGATTGTCCAGCATATAGGAAGACTGATATTACATAACAGTTCAGGATTCTTTTCTTTGTTTCTTAATAAAAAGATAATTTACAGTTCAGACTAGTTACAGTTATCGATGCTAAAAGTGTGTGAGATCAAGACAAAATTGCACAATAAAATTACACAATAAAATTGCACAATAAAATTGCACAATAAAAGTGATGAAAACATAATGAATATTATGATAAACAAAGCAAAGAAGGAAAAGATAGTTGTGAGGAGAATGAATTTTACAGACAGGTGATTCTGAAAATAAATATATTTTGAAAATGAAACGGTTGAAACGGAAGATCGCTTCACATTGCAGACAATCTGAAGATTAATTTTCCTTGTTATCTCAATTTGCTCTATGAATTAACAGCTTTATCAGAATAAAAAACGAAATAGACTGACTGACAGACAGAATAGGGCAAGTATATTAATGAGAACTAAGCAGAAATAAACTGAATCTTGAAGGAGAAAATAAAAACTATAGATGATATTTGTGCAGCAAATGCTACCAGCATCGCGTCTTCTCTCTCCCAACACTTGTTAATGTGCATCTGTCTTGTTGTATGTGCTAGATTCCTAAGCAGGACAAACCAGACATTTTCCCTCGGCCATTCTTAAAGACAACCAATCAGTATGTGTACTTATTCTAACTAAATACATAAGTGACTTTTTTCAATGAATCAATTTTCATCTAAAGTTATCGTTTGGTCATGTAGACAATATACCTCAATACACCATCCTTCATCTTATTAATTATTCTTTTTTAGTTTTCATCTTTCTGAATTATTTCAATGACTAATCTTATTTAATCAAAAAGAGGACATGATTTAAAATATGATTTGATTGATTCGTTTTTACAGTTTATCAACCCTTTGCAGTTTATTTAAAGCCAGAAAATAATTTTAGTTTGTAGTTTGTTTTTTTTTTCAAGATAACAATGGTTTAGTGATACAAGTGTTACTAATTAACCCATATCTGGGGGAGAAGAGATGGATTCATACCTTTCTCAACGGTATTGGCATGTAAGTGATTTTAACGAACCTGATTGGAATTGAAACTTGGCCCTCTGATTTCCAATTTCAAGACATTATCCATTACACCACCCACACATCCAAGCTTACAGCACTTGGTGTTCCCAAGCAGTCACCGATCTAGGTACTGACCAGGCTTGATGTTGCTTAACTTTGGTGATCATATCAGGAACCCATCTTTTAAAGTGATATGACTGTAAATCCCACCCAAAAAAAAACAAACAAAAAAAAGACAAAAGAAGTTGAATGATTGGCCATTATTCTTGCTTAACATGCAGATACATTTATGACAGTCTTGAAGGATTTACCAAATTTACTTGGAAATATGTGAATAATATATATATATAATAGCACTCTTCTCTCAGTAACACATATCTCTTTATAACCATGCAATTTTATTACAATAAAATCATCTACAATGCATTTTTATCGTTAAACCTGTTATGTTATTCCAAGTAGGGATTGCAATTGTATGCAGTCAGCATTGGTTCTACAGTCTATTTACCATTTAAAATTATGTTTCAAACTTATTTTGTTTAATTATATTAATTATTGTTATATATTGCCAACCGCTTTATACATCTCCCTTAAGTGAATAGGCTTTATACCCTTTGTTAATCTCTGGCTTCTTCATCTATTTGTAATTCCATTTTGACTTCCTTCTCTTCCTGTCTCTAGAAATATTTATGTATTTTTCTCTATGGTAGGTCTAGATCTGTCTCATTTGTTGGTTATGTCCTGTTCTTCACAATGCTTGAATTGTCCAGACTGTCTAAAATATTTCATTCATGTTTCATCACTTGTTTCTGTTTACAGGAAAATGAAAAAGGTCCAGGATGGATTTTTTAAGAAAAAATCAATTTCCATCTCACCTTCATATTCTTGTCTGGATTTTATTTGAGCTGAGCATGAGCAAAGAACATTATTGCCATTTTGAAATCTTAATACTTCATTCTACATCTCGTTTCTTTTACCACATCTGCCCTTTCAGCTGCAGATTTCTTATTTCTCTTGTTCCACATTTTTTCGTTAATGGAGTATGACATGTTTAATGGGTCTCTAATCTGTCTCCCCATTAATGAAGACACAATTTCTAATCTGTCAGCATGTTATATAGATTCTAAATATTTAAAAAATTTATTAAAAAATATTTATATTTCAGTAAGAAACTATTAATCATATCTCATTGAAGAGAAAATGCTCTCAATCCTATTTTTATAGTCTGTTCTATTGTTTCTGCAAACCCGTTTGATCATTATGATATTATTTTTATTTTTATATGTTTTTTTTAAGCATTTCACCCCAAGCAAGGTGGGAGTGGCACGCAAGGGGTTACAGTGAGTGAGAGCAAGGGTAAAGAGGAGTTGTTTGAGTAAAGGATATAAACAAGAACAGAGATCAAGATCAAGGCATTAGAAGATGTCGATTGACATTACATTTGAATATTTGAAGGTTATAGCTATCAGGGAAGCAAGTAGAAGGAAGGGAGTTCTACTGTCAGAAAGTGTGAAAGAAAAAGCTGTTGAAGTAGAAGAGGTGGCTACATTTAACTGTTTTGACAGTGAAAGGGTGGGACCAAGATGCCAACCTAGTAGCACGCTTAAATTCATGCAGTTGCGGTACCAGTGAAAGTAGCTCACCAGAGTAGATGCCATGAAAATATTTGTAGAAAAGACAGAGGGAAGCCACATCACGTCTGTGAGAAAGTGACTGGAGTTGAGATGCCAGGTCAGGATCTATCATCTTGCATATCTGTCTTTGGATTTTGTCGAGGACCTTGAGATAAACAGCAGGGGTACCAGACCATATTTTGCAACAGTATTCAATGAAAGGACAAATGGTAGATTTGTATATTTGAAGGATCGACTCAGACCAGATAAACCTCCTGTCGTGACACAGAGAACTAATTTTCTTTGTGGTAAATGAAGCTATTGATTCAAACCTTGTCACAGTGGAATTTTGTATTATGGAGAATAACTGAATTAAAAAAAAAAGCAGAAGTGAAATGTTTGGGAACTTTGTAACATATAATACCTCATCTCAGAAATAGAGACTTGTCAGAGCAGTTGCCATGAAAATATTTGTAGAAAAGACAGAGGGAAGCTACATCACATCTGTGAGAAAGTGACTGGAGTCGAGACACCAGGTCAGGATCTATCATATTGCATATTCATCTTTGGATGTTTTAAAATCCAATTTTCATTAACCAAGAACACAGACAAAAAAAAAAAAAAAAAACTATTTAAAATTGTGTAAAGTACAAAAGCCTGTATATACTCTTTCTTCTGATCAGTTTAATTTATAAATTAAGCACAATAAGTACAAACGAAAACACATTTTCAAAATAACAGGAGAATTAAAAGCAAAAAATATCAATTTCCCTTGAAACATCTCAAAATGATTTTTTGCTGAATGGAGAATCAAATTAGGCAGAATAAGATAATTTTCTCAATAGAGATTTTATTATTTTATAAATTTACAGACAAAACAAATTTTACCAACTAAACCAGACAACCACAAATAATGACCAAATAAAACTGCATAACATAAATCTAACAAATTTTATTCTAAATATCAAAAAATTTAAACCAAAGAAAAATATAGAAAAATATACAAAACAAGTGAATAAAATATATAAATGAATAAAATAATAAAGAAATAATAAGAAGAATATTAGCTATTTAAATTAAGAATAAGAAAAATATGAAGGGCTGATTTTAAAATCTTTTTTTATCCAGCACTGACATTTATATATATATATTAATATATATACCAAAGATAAATAGGTGAAATTAGGTAGGTTTGCCTGGCTGTTTTAGGTTCATAGTTAGATTTGCTTATATACTTATTGCATTGAGCACTTTATGTTAGTTATTTTTTTTTTATATATCATTTTGGTTTTTTTTTTGGAGTTTGATGACTTTCCAAATCCTGAGCTTGGATTCTGGACGATGTTTTTCGCCTGAATTACATGTTCTTAGTTCTTTCTTTTTTATAAAGATGTTTGAGGAGAATTGGGTATTGGTTTGTTCAATTTACAAGCATTATATACAAAGAATATTTTCCGGATTTGAGTATAATTAATTATATATATAAGATTATTATATATTATATATATATATATATATATATATATATATATATATATATTTTTTGTTTAAAATATGATTCCTTCATTTTACATAAGAGTTCTCATGTTTCAAAAACGAGAGGCAAAACCATCCAAATAATTATTAAAATTAAGTTGAATTGAGGTGTTTAGTCCCGTTTCATCTTCAAGCGAAATTTTAGGAATAAGCTATCTCTTGGTTTACGTGTGTTTTTAGGCATGGTCCATTATAAAATTCGTTATTATGGGAGTGGCTAGACTAGCGAGTTTTCTTCGTTAAGTGGTCAGAGAGTTAATTCTTATCAATAGATTCATCATCTTCTGAGAGGTTTTGCTAAGGTTGGGTAGGGTATCTATTTCAAGGCTAATGTTGGCGGTCATCCTTTAGTTAGTTCCCAGTGAGGGATATTTTTTATGGCGCGCCTACAAGTCGTTTATATGTTGGGAGGATTGTCTTTTATTATTGTCCATCTGATTATCTATTTATTTATTTGTTTATTCAAGTGGGTGTTTTATATACAAATCATATTGCACTGAATTTCAATTTTTTTTTTTTTTTGTTTTACAGAAAGGGTTTTTCCTATTTAATGATTTGGCTAATCTTTTAAGACTTTTATTAAACTATGTTAATTTTTTTTTTTTTTATGCTGATTATTTAATGCGATAATTTTTTGATGTTGGCAGAAAACCGTTAACTCCTGCCTATGGTCTAATAATTTTTCATTATTTAGAAACTTAATGATGTGTAGTTTTTCATGTAGGCATAAAGGGCATGGGTCATCCCAGATTTTACAAGTTCTTGTTTTATTTATTATTTTCCATTTTACTTTTGGTGTTTTATTGTTTTTTTTTAGATGCCAAAAATATTGGGATAGAGATGTCTGATTTCTATTTTGAATATGTTTGAAGGAACTTTGTGTTGCCTCCATCTAATTTTAAATTTATTCTTTGTTGAGCCTATGTATATCCTATCAGTGTTAGGACTCTCAATGGATGAAATAGTGCATTGGTATACCACGGATTTTGTGAGGCATTTATTTTCCAACGGGCAGTCTTTAGGGTTTCTACAATACTAAGGAACTCCGGATTATGCACCATTTGTATCTAATTTTATTGAATGTGTTTTATTATCTATCTATCTATCTATCTATTATTTATATATATATATATATATATATTTATATATATATATATATATATTTATTTATATATATATTATATATATATATATATATATATATATATAGAATTAATAAAAGTAGAGCAAATTATTAATTAAAAACAAGGAAAATCAAATCATCTGATATGGGGAATATATTATTGCAGCATATAAAGATATCTTTTTGTGAGATTCTTATCATTATAAACCATTTGATATCTTGAGGTTATTATCAGAAATACAAAATTTTAACTGAAAAAATTGTTAAAAAAAAAATTAAACAGAATTTATACATTTAAATGTTTCTTTTTCAGACAAAAGTTTATGAGATTAAGGTGAAATTTCAAAAGGGTGCAAGGTATTTGTATCAGTAAAGGGAAGAAGTTTTGTGAAATTAAATTTAAATATTAATCTAAATGACGTTTAATTTAAATATATAATATATATATATATATATATATATATATATATATATATATATATATATATATATATATATATATATATTTATATATTATGAAATGGAAAAAACAACAATTATTCTAAGACATTTTTATGTTTATACAAATTTTTAGATAAAATATTTATTTAAATGTTCTGTTTATAACAAAGAGTATTAACAACATTTACCACACTGAATGTCCGAGAAATTGTCATAGAAAATATGCATTCTCCGACAGGAATCGAAACTGTATCCTATATGGACAGATTATCATATGGCCTGACGTAACTTTTTAGTTCCATTTCACCAAAGAGGAGCTGTCATTTAGCAAGACAATTTTACTTTTTTAAACTACCTGATTCTCCATGCATTTTCTCACGACATAACAATTCGTAATATATGATTTGATACATATATTCAAACAAAAAATGACATCCCACATTTTGAAATAGGTTAGTCTGAAACAATTATTTTAAGAAATTTTATATTTTTATAAATATTTGTATCTATAAAAAAGAATTTATAAACATAAAAAATATGAAAATATATATATATATATATATATATATATATATATATATATATATATATGTATATTTTTTATATATATGTATATATATATATATATATATATATATATATATATATATATATATATATATATATATAATATATATATATATATATATATATATATATATATATATATATTTATATATGTATATATATATATATGTATATATTATATATATATATATATATATATATATATATATATATATATATACGATCCAAATCGTTTCAGACCTAAAAATTAAAAAAAAAAAAAAAAATTTATATATATATATATATATATATATATATATATATATATATATATATTTTAGGTTTTTTACATTATATTCATATTGTTTATTAAATATTTTTCTTCCATATATATATTATCAATATATTTAGCATTTTGGAGATGATGTTTAAGAAATGTTTTAAAAATAGAAGTGATCATCACCAAAAAAGCATCCAACATCACCCTTGAACGTACTCCACACAGTAAAACTATATAGAAGCCATACAGAAATTCACTATCCAAAAACAACATCCTTGATAATGCCTATAGGACTATCCAAAAGTGTTTGGAACAATTATAATTATGGACAATTCTTACATTCTTTAACCCCTGAAAACCCAAAAAAATGTTAATATGATGGAAAAACTCAATGAAAGATTCATTAAATCTTCCTTGTTGACCATATTCAAAGAAAGAAAGGTTGCTTCCCAAATACACTTCAATACACTTAGAACGTATAAACATAAAAAAATGTCTTAAAATAATTGTGGTTTGTCTATTTTATATATATATATATATATATATATATATATATATATATATATATATATATATATATATATATATATATATATATATTTCTTCAGAAGCACAAAGATTGTAGTTCACTGATATTAACAAGTAGGGATTTTTTATTTTTTTCTCCTGATGATGGCCATGCTTGCCGAAACTAGGCAGGGTACCTAATTAAAATAATAAAACTAAAAATTATTAATATACAACCCAGTGTGTCTGAAAAGTTTAATTTTTTAATATTTTTCATTGTTCAAATATATATATATATATATATATATATATATATATATATAATGAGGGAATTAGTATAAATTTGTAAGACAAGTGCAACACAATCTTTATGTCACAGTTTTGCCCTATTTGGCTAAAATGATTAAATGTCAAGAGGTCGCAACAAAGTCAAAAAGAAAAAAAGAATTAACACAAAATTTGGTAAAGAGAAAGAAAATCAATGAGAAAAAAGAAGAATTAAACGGGAACTTGGGATTTTTGACCTTTTTGACCTTCAATATAAATATGGCCCCTACTTGTTGTAGGAAAAAGGGTGTCTTTCATGTACCTAAAATATGAGCAGAGTAGTGAGAGGGTGGGTAAAGTAATAATAGAAATGTTACATTTTAAGAGAGAGGTGAGAGAGTGAGATAGTGAAAAAGAAAGAAAGAGATAATGAGAGAAAAAGAATGAGAGAGACAGTAAAAGGAAAAAGAAAGAGTGAGACAATGAGAGAAAAAGAATGAGAGAGATAGTAAGAGGTAAAGAAAGAGTGAGACAATGAGAGAAAAAGAATGAGAGAGATAGTAAGAGGTAAAGAAAGAGAGAGTCAATGAGAGAAAAAGAATGAGAGAGACAGTAAGAAGAAAAGAAAGAGAGAGACAATGGGAGGAGAAAGAGACAAAAAGAAAGAGCCTGATTTATAGATGAGACAAGTTTTATTTCTTAGAGATGTCCATAGTGTTCAAGCCCAGATAAAAAAGATCACATTTTAAATGTTGATTTTCAAGGCAAGCATATTGTTTATCTTGGAAGATTGATGAAGACTGATTGTTGCAATCGTCTTTGGCGTTGGATTGTACTGAACGAGCATGTGAAAAGAGAGAGTGTGAGAAGCAGCACTATTAGAGGGGAGGACAAGAACAGGCTGAGAGAGAAAGGGGGTGTATGAAAAGAGAGAGAGAGAGAGAGAGAAAGAGAGAGTTAAGTGATAGAAAAATAGAAGACTTGTGTTGGAGAGAAAGAGTAATGAAATAAGGGAGAAAAAGTGAGAAGAAACCAGACAGAAAGAAAAAAGTATGAGAGAGGGAGAAGAAAAATCAATATATATGTAGAGAGAGAAGTGAAAGAGAGACAGACAGATAATTTAGATAGAGACAGAGAAAGTGAGACTGTTTTAGAAAGAGAGAGAAGAGAAAGAACAAATTTTTTAAAAATTGAAACTATGAGAGAGAGAGAGAGAGAGAGAGAGAGAAAGAGAGAAAGAAGCAGCTATAGTAGAGATATAAATAAACAAAAAGTTAAAAAGAGAGAGAGAAAAATAATTTAGAGAGAGACAGATAAACTGAGAGTGTTAGAAAGAGAGAGAAGAGAAAGACAATATTGAAAAAAAAAGTGAAACTCCAAGAGAGAGAGAGATGGAGGGGGAGAGAGAGAGAGAGAGATGGAGGGAGAGAGGAAAAAAGAGAGAGAAAAAAAAATCAGAGTAAAATCTAATGCTCTCTTTAAGCGACCTTTAGCTGAATCGACCTGAGACATACGTGGCAATTGCGTCTGGTGCGCTCCAACTGGCACCACCACCACCAGCAGCAATACCTACCCAGTTATCTACCTCACCCTCACTCTACCTCACCCACACTTCCTGCCCATTGCACCAGTCAACTGTTGCGTACTCATGCACTTAACGGACAAAACAAAACTAATTTGGAAAGAAAATATAAAACACAAAAAAGAAAATTGATAAATTTCAATGCAAAAAAGAAAAAAATTACTTAAATATGTATGCACAAACACACACATAATATATATATATATGTGTGTGTGTGTGTGTGTGTGTGTGTGTGTGTGTGAATGAGAGGGTGCTGAAAAGTTCTCAATACGACCCACTTCCCAAAAAACAAATGACAAAATAGAATATTTCTTTAAATCCTTTCTTGGAACTTATTTTTCTGAGAGTTTTTATCTGCCCTCCACCTTATTGCTATCCCTCCACTATACACACACACACACATACATATATATATATATATATATATATATATATATATATATATATATATAAAAAAAGATTAAACACTAATATTCCATGGTTATAAATTATTACATTGGAATATGAATCATATGATCCCAATTCAGAAGATATATATATATATATATATATATATATATATATATATATATATATATATATATATATATATTTATATATATATATATATATATATATATATATACACACATATATATATATATATATATATATATACACACATATATATATATATATATATATATATATATATATATATATATATATATATACAAATAAAGGAATAAGGGCTTTTAGAATATCAAATAAACTAAGTAGTGGAATATCTTATATTAATGTAAGATATTATGAATATTTCTTTATATATATATATTAAATGCTTCTGTTATTTAACATAAACCACTGTTTTTTCTTACACTACAGAATATTCATATGTATAGTATTTGTATACTATCGCTTTCTCGTATACCTACCTATATTTACTCATTCGGTTATCATTACATACATATTATATATATATATATATATATATATATATATATATATATATATATTTAAGTTATAGAAATTATTATGTTGAAGAGATTTAAGCAATTTCTATCGCTTGTATATCCTTGTTTAATCCTGTTAATAATCTGCAATGGAGCAGCTGGGGGAAGGAAGACGTTTTGCTCTTTGGGCACAACCTGTTGAGTTTGAATACTTAGATGAGTATCACAACGAAATTTGTGAGTAGCACTGCTATATTGCATTGACTCAGTTTCTTCTTCGTCACTGAGTCCTGTTGGTTTAGTGGTATGACTCTTGCACTGTATTGTAACAGTCTGGGTTCAATACTCTGCAGTCGATGCCCACTACTAATGAGTCCCAAATAAGACTAAACAGTCGTCCAGTGCTTTCTGCATTCTGTTGGGGATTTTTCAAGACTTAATAAATTACTATAAATGATATATATAGATCTATATGTGTGTGAGTGTTTGTGTGTGTGTGTCCGCACACTGATATGCGACTAAATATGGTGAGTAAAAGGGAGAAAATTAAAAATTAATATTTATCAGCATTAATTGGGTCAAGCACAAGTTCAATTAAAGAGCAAATGTAGTTTGACACCCGAATCTTTCTTAATTAAAGGAGAAATACATTACATTATTTACATTATTTGGACTATTGTCATCATCTTTGTCGCCATATTTATTACAACGTTTTTGCCGTTGTACGCTCCAGCCTTCTTCAGGTGGTTGGAATGTTGAACTGAACCCTTTATTTCTTCAAGGACACATGGCCCAGTGGATAAAGGTGTTAGTTAGATCCAGTGACAGTACCCTAAGAGTGTGAATTCAATACCTGGCTAAGGCAGTGGAGAACTTTCAGAGGGAAATTAACAGGAGATAACTGATAACTGACATCCATTAAACATGGCACATGGAACAGTCGACCCCAGTGAGCGAAATAAAGGGTTCAGTTCAACATTCCAACTACCTGAAGAAGGCTGGAGCGTACAATGGTCGAAACGTTGTAATAAATATGGTGACAGATATGAGGACAATAGTTTGAATAATTTATATAATGTACATAATATGTCATCTCAGAAATATAGACAGAGAAATATATTATTGCTAGGGTTATTGACAGAGAGTGTTGCTAAAAATGTAATTTTATAAAGAAGTTTCATAATACTTTATTTTAATTAGTATTCCTAATTTAATCATTTTCTTATATAGGAATAAAGCGTCACTGCTGACACTGGGGTTTGAACACAGATCGTCAGAGAGCAAATGCAGACAATCCCATTTTGAATAAGTAGATCACGTGATGGTAAAGGAAATGTATATATAGGAATTAGCGTGGTGTCAAAGTGATCACTTTTAGAATTACTTCAGAAGTGTCAAACTATTTGCCTCTGAGAAGAGAGGAACCTAGGAAAGACTGTGCCGAAGGGCAGAGCCTCTTCTGGGGTGGTAGACAGATACTCGACCCTGTTTTTATGGGGTCTACAGAGAATTTTTTCCTAAACCTATGGGCTTGGATACCCCACAATAAACTTGGACTTTTGCTACATCCAGCCATGTGGAGCAGTTAGTGAATATCTCCTTATATGGTTTACTTCAGAAGTGTGCCAGTCTAACTCTCTGCCTCTGTGGAAGGGCAGAGTCTCGTCTCAGAAGAATTTCTAACTATATAGATTACTATTTGGTGGTTACTTTCTGAGCGAGCATTATGGAGCAAGTCCTGTTAGTGCGAGTGATATTCGAAGGCATCTGACAACAGTATTGTTCAACGGTGTTACTATAGTTGTATCTGCAATTACAAAGTCTCTACTACAAGGAGCATTACGAAAGTGACAATGAGTATTCACTGACATTACAAAAGTGGCAACAAGTGTTTGTTGACATCACAAAATTGATCAATGTTAGAATTTTATTTTGCAACATGTATTTACAAAAATATTGCAAGGTTATAAAAATGTTTAAATTTAAGAAAACTCAAAAGTGCACTTAAGTCTGGGAAAATTAAAAAAGATCCTGAAAGAAATAATCTTTTCCAATGCCAACATACATGACGATGAAAATTTTTAAAAATTAATAGAAAATGGTTAAATCAACATCAATTATTTAGAATAAATAAATATATAAAAATTTATTTCTTAAATTTATCAAATTAAAAAATAAATAAATAAAAAATGAATAAATAAAAAACTAGTACAACAATAACAATAACTTTTGTCTATTAGTTATTGACTTAAAAAATATAGTACATTTTAAACAACATATATATATATGTGTGTGTGTGTGTGTATATATATATTAAATGTTTCATATATGTAATCTTCAGTCTGGTTTGATTAACAAATAGTGGGTGTGGTATTTATATCTTCATATGTGTATATATATATGGGTTTATATATATATATATGTATGTATATATATATATATATGTATATATATATATATATATATATATATATATATATATATATATATATATATATAATCATATATATATATATTAATTATTAAAATTTAATATGCATATATATATATATATATATATATATATATATATATGTATATATATATATATATATATATATATATATATATATATGCATATATATATATATATATATATATATATATATATATATATATATATATATATATATATAAATTGTTAAATGAGAAAGGAACTTAGACAAATGAAAATTTATTGAGAATGTTGCTATCAAATCTTACCAAAATATAAATATAAACCCTGGATTTGTTCATCCATTTCCTTTCCTAAAAGAAAACAGTTTTTAAGTTCAAAGCCTTGTAATATTTTAAGCATATAATACATAAATTAATCTCAAACTAAAATAATAATAATAATAATAATGATTACATTCTTTCAAAATTCTACTATAACAATAACAACATCTACTCACTTTCATCTATTAGTTATTAAATTATATCACTTAGCACCTTCCATAAATTATGTTGAAAAATCGGAGAACCAAGTTTGAATTCCAATTGAGTTTGTTTGTTTATAGCATGAGGATAGTTTTTAAGACCACCAGCTATGGGTTAAATAGTAAATAGTTTTTCAGCCTTTATTAGCAAGCATAGTATAGGAGAAGGAAAACTGTTTTAGAGGACATACTATACAAAGAATAAAAGAATAAAAAATATAAAAGAATAATGGAATTCATGATGAGAGTTTGAATCCAACTGTGGTCAATCTACTGATGATGATTATGTCAATCTATCTATCTATCTATCTATCTATCTATCTATCTATATCTATCTCAGTCCTTTCATTATCTATCTATCTATCTATCTATCTATCTCCATATATTATATATATGTTTATATCTGTTCATCTAACTATCACCGTCATCTCTATCTATATCTATCTGTTCATATCTATCTACCTATTTCTTTCTTTCTATCTATCTATCTATCTATCTATCTATCTATCTATCTATCTATCTATCTATCTATCTAACCCTGTCTATATCTCTGTCTGTTTATATCTCTCTCACAACCTGTTTCTTTCTCTCCCTCTCACTTCAGTCTCTTGCTATCTATCTTTTTATCCATGTCTCTTACTCCCCGACTCTGTTTTGTTAATGAACAAATTTTCGCCCCTCTCCTGTTGAAGTTCAACTAAAGACCTGCCTTTAAATGTACTAAATTTAAATACTGAATTGGTATTTGTATCTGTTTAACTGCAACACTCTTTTCCAGACCCCCTCCTCTCTTTCTCTCTCTCTCTCTTCACATGTACTCTGAAGATATGAAAGATCCTGTTAAGAACATCGTCACCCCACCACTTCTCTCCCTATAACCCCCACCTCTTGTTTATTCAAGATGTCTTTCACTCTTAAATTTAGTTTTTCAAAAAGCCAGAAGGAGACTGCCAGAGACAATATGGCTTCTGTTAGTCAACCATATTGTATACACTGGCTGCTGGGAACTTGGCAACCCCTGCATTCCTCTCAAATGAAAAT